ACCGGCATAGGATCGTATTGGCTGGCGCTGGTGACGAGGAGGTAATTCTTGTTCAACTTCCTACTTTGTCCCTTGAAACTGATGACCAGCCTAGCCAGGAATTCCTACAGGAGACGTTGTGTTTGTCCTGAAGACCCATCCCCACGAATCCTTCGAGCGATCCGGCAACGACCTTTTGACCACAGTTCACATCACCCTCTCGGAAGCCTTGCTAGGTTTTTCGCGGATTCTCATCACACATCTAGACGGCCGTGGAGTTCATGTCTCAAGTCCATCCGGCAAAATCATCAAATCTGGCGATAGCATTATCCTCAGGGGTGAGGGCATGCCCCATTACAAGAACCCTGACCAGAAGGGGAACCTCTACGTCATACTCGAGGTCGATATGCCAGACGAGGAGTGGCTGAAGTCCGTCGACAGGGCGGTATGTGTACATTTCGACGGCGAGAGCAGCCCGCACTGACTTGCTCTGACAGGCTCTTGAGCGACTGTTGCCGCCCAAGAAGCGGGAGATGGACCCGAGACCCGCAGTCGTGGATGAGGTGCCTTTCGAGGAGACTGATATCGTCGACGTGCGTGAGACGCCTTTTCGCGCTGGATCCCACTTCTTTGACCATGGCTTCGGTCCGCAGTTCGGGACAGGGGACGAGGACGATTGGGAGGATGAGGACGAGGAGCACGGCGAGGAGCCCGAGTGTCAGCACCAGTGATTACGATCACTGGGCCCCGATTCGCTTCGTCAGGCTGCTTGGGATTTTTGCATCGTATTGTAGAGCTTCACCTATTGCTATCGCACTCACGGTTAGATTTCTCTACTCTACGTCACTTGCCGTGGTCTGTATAGCAGCGCGGGACGTTTTTTCGCATGATGCCACTTGTCGGACCACGAGTGCACTTCAATTGCCAAATACTGCATTTGACATCCTCCACGCTCCGCAGCCAGCTAGGGAGACCCGAGTAGTTAGCATATTCGGTTAGATGTATTTACATGCGAGACTGGATGGCGATGGTGGTATAAAGAGTGTTCAGATGTGGAGGGCCGTCTCCACGAAGCTTGTCCGCCCACATCTGCTACCCCCACCGCGGCGGATCTACAATCTCTAAGCCAAGCTATGATACGGCACGCCCTGTCCGACGACCGTCCTCCAAGAGCCCTTGGTTCGAGGCAAGCCTAGGGCACGTCCGCCTTACGTGGGCAGACAAGACGCAGGTCCGATGAACACGCCAGGTCGTGATGCACTCGCAACATTTTCTCACCGGTGCGCGTGCGTTCGGCCGTCAGAGAGATGACATCGCTGGAGACTATTATTGTGTCCTCGTCGACATCATCGCACCCTGGCCTCGTGTGCAACGACCCTGTGGCGCCGAGGACCCAGCAGAGGGTGCGGAACGTGCAACAAAGTTTAACGAATGCCGACGAGCCAACGCAGGGCGGTCATCGCGATTTCGGAGACGTCGGTGATGTCGCGTACGGGCAGCCGACCGCCGTCTGGAACGGGGGCCGGCGCGCGGAGAGGCGAGGAGATAAGATTAGATCGTCACGTGCGTCCAAGTATGTCTAATCAGCATGAGCCGAAAAATCAGATCAGAGTGGTCTGACTTTGCGCGGGCGTCCTCATAAAAGCGTTGTTCTTACCGAATTCCGGATTGTCATCCTCGACGTCGTCCCCGGCTCCGCGCGCATCACCCTCGCCGTCACAGGCAGCATCCACGACAAAAGAGCCGCTCGCATTAGACTGCCAGCGAAGCAGCGCGCGCCATGGATCTCGTGCTTGGCTGGTGTGACGACCTCTTTCTCGATAAAGTTTGGGCGCATGCCCTCCCGCTGTCTGCCTTCACCTCCTCCTCGAACGCGGGACTGGCATCGGCATCTGCTGCGCTGCTTAGCAACTCGTCACATTTTCCTATTCTGAATTCTGACCCGAGCACATGGTCACAGCTATTATCCTACATACCCCATCCTCCGTTTCCTGACGACCTCGTCTCACTATCAACGCTCGACTCGCTGCCTCTGATCTCGGCATGGCCGCGCGACTACCTCCCGCGGCAATTGGTCTCCCTATTTGTGCTTACGCTCGCTGGCATCCATCTCCTCTACTTCATATTCGCCTATCTATCATATAAATACATCTTTAATCACGAGATGATGAAGCACCCACGCTTCTTGAAGGATCAAGTCAAGCTGGAGATTCAATGTAGTCTACAAGCGTTCCCAGGAATGACCCTCATGACGCTTCCGGGGTTCTTGGGAGAAGTTAGGGGGTACTCGAAGTTGTATGACAACGTCGACGAGTACGGCTGGGGCTACTTCTTCTTCTCGATCTTATTGTACGTGACACATATTTCCGTTCGCACCATGCTCACTCACGCGGCGACACAGTTTCCTCGTCTTCACCGACTATTGTATATACTGGATTCACCGGTGGTTGCATATTCCTTTTTTCTACAAGCGGCTGCACAAGCCGCACCACAAGTGGATCGGTACGTTTTCCATACTCCGTCCTCCGCTAAGCTCACGCCATTGCAGTGCCCACACCATTCGCATCGCATGCTTTCCATCCGGTCGACGGCTTTGCCCAGTCTGTGCCATACCATGTGTTCATATACTTGTTCCCGCTACATCGAACGCTATACCTTGTGCTATTTGTCCTCATTAATTTCTGGACCATCCTCGTGAGCAGCTTCTACCACGCGTCTTACGAACCTAACTCACCTCGCGTACCAGATTCATGACTCGGACATGATCACTGGCCACCCATTGGAGACCGTGATCAACGGTCCCGCGCACCACACACTGCATCACCTATACTTCACTGTAAATTACGGACAGGTGAGTTCTCCGTCCCCTTTCACGTCTTCTTCGCTCATTACTCTTGCTATAGTACTTTACCTGGGCGGACCGCATGGGCAACTCGTACCGGCAGCCCTCGTCCGACCTCGACCCGCTCCTCGAAGCAAAAGCCGCCGGGAAGGCGGCGCACGACAAGGAAGACTGAGTCCAAAATCGATCTATGTCGGATCTATGTTATCTATTTACGCGTACTATATGTTGGCCCGGTGCGGCGCGTCCGGCGCGGATACCCTACTAGCTTCAGCACGGGCGAGTGTTAATGGTACAGTGCTGTATCATATTCATTCATTGTCACGAGTAGGTGCAGGGAGGAGGGCTCCATGTGGCCCTACAAATATAATGATTCATGGCTCCTCCACTGAAGACGCTCGAGACGCATGCCTCCTTCCGTCATGGGTGAAATCGCCGCATTATATATATTCAGAACCAACATAAGCAACAAGATCTCGAGTACAGGAGTACACCACTCGTAGTATGCGCGGCGCCCCGCCTATGTAGTATGTATGCGCTCGTCACCGCTTCGCGGGCTTGCGCTTGACCTCGTCGTCCTTGCATGCGTGTAGCATGATCTTGTTCGGGTGCCCGGGCGTCATGCCGGAGTGACCCTTGTGCCAGTCGTACGAAACCGCGTACGCGAAGATAGAGCCCGTGCGACTGAAGCACGTCGCGGGCACCGGGCCCGGCGCGGGCTCAAATGCTAGACACGCGCCGGCGTCAGTATGAAGTATCCGCCGTGTAGTGGAGAGGCAGACGTACATTTGAGACGCGTGCGCGCGTCCTTGTCCCAGTAGTTGATTGTGCCATCGGAACCTGTATGTAGTGACGGTTAGAGCGCCGGACTAGAAGAGACACGTGTGACGTACCACAGGTGGAGAATGTCCCATGCACGGGGTGGAACGAGATGTCGTTGACGGCGTACACGAGTGCTTGGTCCTTGGCGGTTGGAGATAAGTCTCGGCGGTGGCACTTGAACGAGAAATTGCTCCTGTATGTTGCATGGAAATCAGAGAGTTGTACAGCAAGGCGAGGAAAAAACATACGACGCATCCTTTTCGTCGACGTATCTGAAAGACGCGTTAGCTCGCACGAAACGTCACAGGGGACTGAACTCACTGGATAGCTACTCGTCCTTCGATACTACCCACTGCGAAGCCATTTGCGGCAGGGAAACACGACACGACACGTGTCTGCCACTTGAGAGGAGACATCATAGTCTTCGTTATAGTTTCGTCAGCTCTACTACTGCTAGACTTCATAAATGTCACGAACTTTGTAGGGAGTTGTCGGGTTGGTGAGGTTGAATATCTGGATGTGCCGCTCGGCCGTCCCAACGACCATAAGCGGATAGACAACGTCCATGGTGTAACACCTCTCCGGCAGCTGGACGCTGGACACGGCTGTGGGCGAGCGGAGGTCCCAGTACTAGAGGAGGAATTAGAGCGCCGCATCTCATGCACGATATATAGATCACAGAACGCACCTTTACCGTCTTGTCATAGCTCCCCGTGGCGAGCACACTCCCCTGAGGCGACTCGATCCACCGCACGCACTTGATGGGCGCGTCATGTTGCGCGACCTGCGACGACTGCCCCGTCGTAATGTCGAACATCCGCCCCGCGTTGTCCGCGCCGCCTGACAGCACTTTCGTTCCATCCTACGCACGAGGCGAGATGGAGCGCGATGCCACGGCGCATCAGCGGGAGCTAGGAAACTGCAACGGCGGGTGACATACCTTGTTCCAACACACGCTCAAGACGGGACCCTGGTGCCCGTACATCGCCTTCCCCTGCGTCTGTCCACTCTGTCCCACTTCATAGATCCGGACCTGGAATCGAAAGGCGCGTCAGTGAGAAACAGGTGCTTCGTGGCTTCGTAAACTGACGTTATTGTCCCAGGAACCGACGGCGAGGTAATCCGCCTGCGAGGAGAAGGAAAGAGAGGAGATGGAGTCGGTGGGCGGGTCATTAACCTCGATATCCTTGTCCGCCGGGGCAGGGTTCGCCACCGAGGACGACGAAGCCGCGCTGTTGAAGAAGGACATGGTTGAAGGTGCACGTCCGCCACCGCGAGCTACAAACCAGGGCGCTTATTGCACGCGCGGAACCGACCCAAAGTCACGTCGGCCACACACCGCAAAAACTGGCAAAAACGACCAACCTGGGATTCGAACCCAGAATCTTCAGCTAACACACAACCGGAAACTGACGCCTTAACCATTAGGCCAGTCGGCCGATGCAAGTCCTCCCTCACATGAATATATGGGCTGCCAACTATCGATCAACAATCTTAGGCGAGGCGGAATATATCATAGCGAGAGGCTGCAAGTGACGTTGGCCAGTAAAGCATCGTGACGTCTGGAGAAGTCCCAATAACGTCTACGCCTCGAAGCTGGCGCATATAGAGCCCAGCGGTCGGCATGATCCCTTCAGAAGCGTCACCCACATGACCCCCCACGCATAATCATCATGCTAGCCAACCCAGCTCAATCTCGTGGACCCTACAACCTCCCGCCAGGTGGCCGCGATGTCGAGCGCGTCACCTACAACCCCATGGCGGATGCCCGCCCCGATGCCGCCGAGTTCAACCCTGACCGCGCCGAAGACTTGTAGCCCGTCGGCGCCCGCGGTGCTGACAACCAGCCCACGGGTCGCAACTATGGCAGGGAGGATAGGAAGACTGCACGCTCCGACGAGACTGGCCAGGTCCCGAGAGGTACGCTTTGTCGCTGTAGCGTCCGGCGGATCCAATTTTATGCCGTGGTGCATGGGGGAAGTCGACGACCTGCTCAGCAGCACCACTGACGAAGAGAGGAACGTCTGTGACAAGACCCACGGCAACCGCGTCGACGCTTACAAGCAGGAGCGCGAGGCTGGTCGTCTCATGCAGGAGTCTGGCACAGACCAGGCTGACCAGGATGCGGAGATAGGACGCGCAGCCGGCTACTAATTGTTGCGTTCTCGTCGAAACTGCCAGGCTGATTAGGAATAGGTTGCATATCTGGAGGTTGTTTGATTATAATATGTTGTCTGCAAGACTGAATATTTCGGTTGCCAAGGCTCGACTCCCCATAGCAGGTATAAGTCTTGGTCATGGCGAAGCCGTTCACCGTACGCGCGATGAAGTTCTGCACGTGGGACAGCCCAATAGAAACTGCAGACGATATCACCGGGAGTAGAGTACCAGTGTCGACAATTATTGGATGCCAGATGACACAGGGTAATCAAGCAGGAACGGCCGGCCGTCGGTAACATTCAGTGCCAAATAGCATGCACGAACAAGTGGGTCCTTTTGCGGTGTCGCCTGGACGTTCGCGGTAAATTGAACTTGTGTCTGACAACTTCATTACTTTGTATTGTCTTGGAAGTACGCCAATTGCCAATATGAAGAATGATCTAGTTTGGAATTCGGAATTGATGATAATAAGACCGAGGAAGGCGCATCGGGCCGTAGAACGCTACTTGAGACCCGTGGACCTCCAAATGAGCGTGTTAGGTTTCCCTAACATGGCGACGGGGACCAGGGGAGGGCAAGATGGGCCACCGCCCAGGAGAATCTGTGACAAAAAGTGCCAGCTTGCAACCGTCGCGAAGCCTGGACGCTGCATGTCCTAGGTGGCTGCTATGGGTCCACATGTATCGGTTGACATTGAACGGTTGCTTGTTCGCCCGGATACCACATGGTCTCCAACGTCAAATACGATTGGAGCCCACAACGGTACCCGTAGCAAAACATAGTATGTGCGCAGACGAGCGACAAGCTGTCTTCTGACGGAGCCTACAGAGAATTCTTCGTGAGAACACGTAGCCGAGAAGGAAGAACCTCGGACCGATCGCGAGCAGTGCGCGACAGCACAACGTTGACCGGCCCCATTGGTCGACACGGCCCGCTTCTAGTATTGGATGGATCACGCGCCACCTGCGGCATGGCACAAGGTGGGCTCTTTACAGCAGCACGAAAGCATGAAACGCTATTTCTGATTCCCCAAGAGAATTTTGGGGGACCAGCGAGCAGGAGATATAAGCGCGACAGGTAGGGTATGACCCTGTATGACCCTAGCTGAACGCTCGGGGGATAACTCGTGACAGGTGCAGCACGACGTGCTGAACGTGCGCCACCGTCGACGCGATGCTGGCATATGGAATGTGCGCACATAAAAGCGCCTCAGAGTCGCAGGTTTGAGTATCGATTCAGAAATGGCCCTCGTTCGTCTACTTGCATTGGTTGCGATCATCGTCTCTGCATGGCCCGTCGAGGCTGTAGGTCCGGCACCCAACCAGATCAAAAACCTTGTTACGTTCGGCGACTCCTACACAGACGTTGTAAGCATACTCTTCCACCTTCCCTTAACGCTGCGCCTTGACTCACCACCTCCGACCGTAGGTCTCGACGGGGGACAACGGGACCGCATGGCCCGTCTACGCGGCGCGCGACGGGCACTTTACGCTCTTCCCGTTCGCGCGGTCCGGCGCGACATGCTCACAGGCGCTCACCCCGCGAGACTTCCCGCCGCTCTTTCAGAGCCAGCTTCCTGCGTACTTCGCGGAGGTCGCGAACCACTCGATCCGCGTGCCGCCCGAGGAGACGATTTACACGCTGTGGCTCGGCACGAACGACGTCGGGGTCGGCGAGCTCATTACCGGCGGCCAGACCCCCGGTGTCACGCTCGTCGATACCGTCGGCTGCCAGATAGACTGGGCCAAAACTTTGTACCAGAGCGGTGCGAGAAACTTCTTGTTCCAGGCGGTGAGTCCAAGATCGGTGCTTGAGACTTCGGGAAAGCTCACCTCTTCCTGTAGATGCTCCCATTGCAGCATGTCGTGCTGTATTCCGCCGATTCATATCCGAACAGATACTGGACACTGGAGCGTAACACTACCGAGTGGAATGTCTTCATGACCGAGATCGTTAGCTCAGCCAACAAGCTCCAGGAGCTGATGATTCAGCAACTCGCGCCTACTCTTCCGGGCGCGCATATCGGTGTGTTGCATCCTGCTGACACTCGCCACTTCGGTTCAATATTGACGAGAAGTTGCCACGCAGGAGTGTTCGACTCGTTCGGGCTCTTCTCGGATATGATTGCACACCCCGCCAGCTATCTGAACGGCACCGCGCCGCTGAACGTCACCGGCTGCATCCGGTCGTGCGTCTTCAAGATCAACGAGAGTACCGCAGACACGGGTGACTGCACCATCGCGGAAGGAACAGATCGAGACAGTTTCTTGTGGTTCGTAGATAAGACTTTCTCTCTGCACGAGTATGGCTGAGTCCTATGGCGTGGGGCAGGTATGACGAACTACATCCGTCCGAGCAGGCTGATCGGGTGGTGGCTCGCGAGATCGCGGCTGCTATTAACAGGCAGTCGAGTCAATGGACGACGTGGTTCAGCTGAACACTCGCGCAACTGTTCCGGATGTAGAATAGAGGGCTCTCGAGTCGGTCGACGAAGGAGATCGTTGAGTTGTACTGGGCTGCATTTGGAATAGTACACGTTCAGGATGATCTGCTGCAGCCGCTGAGATGGCTCGACCCATCAGGTACGCCCGGAAGGCAATCTCCGTAAGCCAGCACCGTGGAACAAGCGTCCGCTGATGGCAAAAACGTGTTCGTCCCGGGTCTTCGGAGCGCTCGAACATTGCAGGCGCTGTTAAGGTTTCCGTTTCAGATGGAATAAGCGTCACGGAGCAGTGCTAGCAGATGATCTGTGGTCAATCTGTGATTGCAAAGCTGTTGCAGAGCACATTCGTACGCAGCGCATTGCCCGCTGTTCACTGCTGGTGTGAACGTAATGCGATACGATTCTGAGGAGACATGCCGCTGGAGCCAGGCATCCACGTTGTGCGAGGTCAGGCGTTGTGAAAGATCTCGATAAGCAGGAGCGGGAACTCATGTTGTTTCCCATAAACACGAGCATCGTCTCTGCGGACGGCGGGAAGATAATAGTCTAGCCTTGCCTATGGGTATCATAGCACCCCGGTCTTACCAGCAGTGCTACCCTAGTAAGCAGCTTAAAACTCCGACTATAATGAGAGTAAGAAAGAGTAACAGCGGCTATCAACGCTGTGAGCGCCTTCCGGAAAGGGACAAGCGTGCCTCCGCACTCGGTACGAACTTCAACTTGGCGACCCTCCACCAACTGGTCTCCTAACATCACCCATCGCCCACTGTCTGCACTCGCTGGCCGGAGGGGATCGTCTCCCCGATGACAATCTTCCTCCCCTTGGAGGCATCGGCGCCTTTCCCCCCGTCCCCCTCTTTTCTCGTACCGTCATCCGAGCCGACCGCCCAGGTGAAGAAGGTCATGAAGGCTATCATGAAGGCTCGCAGGATCGCCGTGGTTTGTGGTCTGTGATATCACCCTACGCTGCTTGGACGTTATCTGAGCATGGCTCTTACGGTGTAGGTGCCGGGATCTCCGTCCAGGCAGGCATCCCGGACTTTAGGTCTTCCGAGGGGTTGTTCCAAACTTTGAAGAAAGACAACCCTAGTCTTGCGTCTGGGAAGGACCTCTTCGATGCATCTGTATTCAACGTGAGTATTCTCGACATGATATCGGAGGGACGGGGGGACGAGCTTTCCAGGGATATTACTTTTGCTTCCCACATGTCCCAACGGATTTAGCAGTTTCAATTTCTCCCTCGCCGAGGTTAAGTTGTCACGATTCTTGCACTACAAAATGTGCTCTAGAACTCTCTGTCCCCTCTATTTACGGGAATTCCAAATCTCTGCTCGGGAGATTTGAACATTGTCCCTGTCGTGCCTCACTTCAGCGGCGTTCGCTGTCACCCTAGAGTTCTCGTACCACCTCGGGGACGTAACGGCGGTTTTACGAGGGACTTTGTCAGGCTTGCAAGCTCGCCGCTTTTCATTACGCCTCGGCTATGCCGGAGAAGTGCTCAAAGCTGACAATAACGTCACAGAACGAAAGCACCACGTCCCTCTTCTGCCAGATGATTGCTCAACTCGCAGAGCTTTCTTCGACAGCTTCGCCGACGGCATTTCATCAACTTCTGCGCGCTCTCGATAATCGTGGCAGGCTCCTTCGGGTTTACACGCAGAATATCGACGCGCTGGAGTCTAAATCTGGCCTGACATTTGGCGTCCCTGAACTGGACGGCAAGCGCTACAAGCCGCGTACTCCTAAGGGCAAAGGGGACGCCACTAAGGACGACACTGCGCTCGAGGCTCAGCCAGGACCGAGCCGCCTGCTTACACCGCCAGTCGAGACCCCCAG